GGGGATAATAATCAATGTAATGAAACAAGCTATATGAATGGTTGAATGTGAAGCTGATGATGTGCCCTGTAAACTTTCACTCGATGCAAAATAAAAACATTTAATTTAAAAAAAAAAAAAGCGATAATGAGAGAAAAACAAAGCAAGACAAAAAAAAAGAAAAAAATAAAAACAAAAAAACCGATGGAAAAAAAGAATTCAGCACCAGAAGAAACAAGATTGAATAAGGCAGTCTCTAGTCACACACAAAAGAAAGTAAAGTAAAAAAAAAAAAAGACCCTGTATAGGGTTTCCAAGGAGCAGCTGGTGAGCTCGAACCACCGAACTTGCAGTTCAAAAGCTTTGCAGTATGGCGCATTAACCCGCAGAGCCACAGCAGGACTGCTTTGTAACTGGTGCTAAAAAGCAACTCAAGGCGTCTCAGCTTGTGCTGGCTTGTGCCTTGATGGGCGGGCCTGATCCTCGGAGGCTGGGCAGAGGGCTAGCCTGTGCTGCCCCATTAGGGAAGCGCCGGAAGTCTAATTCCCATTTGATTTTTAATGACTGACTATTCCATCATTGATAATGAATATACCTTAGTAGTGTTGTCCCCCCTATATACATAACTATCTATTCCTTGGTTAAAAATTGCACCATAAACGTGAGTTCCTTTCCAAACCTGAAAGGTGGTCAAGGGCCATAGTGTCAAGTTCCTCCAGTCTTTTTCTGACCAGTAAACCTGTTTTTTTTGTTTAAATAATTTTGAGTTTTGTTCTACGTTTCTCCCAGTCCATCTGGGACCCTCTAATGTGATCCCTTTCAGCGCAGCTGGTAGTGGTAGCTGGGCACCATCTAGTTCTTTTAGAAGAAAGGGGTGGGGAACCTTTCTTCTCCTAAAGGCCATTTGGATATTTATAACATCATTCACTCTTGACTTTCTTCTGCACATGGAGAGACCAATAGGTACACCTTTTAGATGGCCACTTAATTAGCTTTCCAGATCCCAGATACTACTCACCTAAGCAGGATGTAGAACATTGTCTAGGCACTGTGTTATGCCAGTTGACCATGGTGCCCCTTGAGACTCTGGACCTGTGCTCCGAGACCCAACAACTCGCTGCCTTAGATGTTTGAGAATATCTAGGAATTTTTCATCATTTGTAATACTTTTGACACACCCTTGCGTAGTGGCAACATCTCAATAATAGGAGTTGGAAGAAGTTATTGAAACATTGGGGTTCATATAGGATGATTATCTGTCTGTGAATACATGCTTCTTAAAGGCTCCATTTAAATCAGTGATGGACTATTCTCTCCCCAATTAAAAGTTGTTTGTTGAATTGAAATCTTACATTATTAATGAGGGGCTTCAAAAGTTCATGGGAAAATGGAATTTAAAGATAGTGGAATTTTTACGCTAACTATTTGAAGCCTCCTCATAAATTTTACATGCCTTATTTGAGAATGGTTCAGTACTCAGTTTTACCCAGTAACAACATGAGCATTCTTTTCTGTGCAGCAGTTTTTGTTATTAAGTGTCGTTGAGTCAGTTCCTACTCATAGCAACTCTGTATTGTGTTTCTGAGGAGCAGCTGTTGCTGGTGGGTTTGAACTGCTGACTGTGTGCTTAGCAGTCCAGTGCTTAACCTACACCAGCAGTCCTTGTGCAGCAGTACACAAGTGGAAATAAGGTCTTCTTTTGGGGCTGTATTTTTCTATATTGGCATAGTTGTTAAAAAGTGTTTTCAATTTCATTTTCCTTCTCTAGCAAAATCCTTCATATAACACAGAAAGATGCAAAGTATTCCAGTGCGATCTGACTAAAGATGACCTTCTGGAACATGTACCCTCAGAGTCTGTGGATGTTGTCATGTTGATTTTTGTTCTCTCAGCTGTTCATCCTGACAGGATGCACCTGGTCTTACAAAATGCTTACCAGGTAAGCAACTTGAGGATTGTACTTTAGTATTGGACACCCCAGTCCTTTTGTTTACCTTCTCTCCAAGGTCGTGTACTGTCTAGATTCACATGCTTCTCACCAGCTAGGCTGTCCACTCTAAATTCTGACTTGTGCAATGGTCAGGGCTGCTCTTTAGTGCTTGGCCATCTTGTTTGAGATAATAAGACCTAGCTCATAGAATTTTTTTAGAGTAAATGAAATATGTTCTAAATACTAGCACAACACCTCGAACATGGTAAGTGCTTTCTTTAAGTCAGTCGCTGTCGTTGTTGTGGCTGTTCTGTTATCACTACCATCCTTATTGATACTGAAGTTGGGGGAACCCAGTCTGTTCTGTCCACCAGCAGGTTGCCTTAGTATGCAGGGAGTAAAGCTTCACTCATTAGACTTGTGATAAACCACCTCACCTTCCATCTCTGAGCTTCCATTTCTTTGACAAGAGATGGTACTTCACACAGTGTGAGTATTGTGTAAGCTATAGTAATTTTGACTTAAGGCTAAGGCCTTTTCTTTAAGTATGAGCCCAGTGATTGTCTTTCATACATAGCTACACACATAGTTTGGGTTTCTTTAAGAGTAGAACAAGAACTCAAAAACAAGTGGAAAATAATCCGAGGGCAAACTGTCTTTTACGTTTTTACCCAGACTTTCACACTTGATTCTTCTGCACCAAGTTAAACAGCAATTTGTTTCAGTACTTCATTATCAAAAAAATAATTCAGCTTAACTCTTCATAGGGAAAAAAGCTTTCTCTTTATATTCATATTGTATTGTTTATGTAACTCTTAATGAAGTCTGTAGTTATAAAACCAAGTACACCTAGCATATGCAAGTTTGGGAGCAAGCCCAAGTGATTCATGGTGAGTGTGTAGTTCACGGGTTGGAGAGGTTTAACAAAATCAGAAGGGTACGTGATCTGGAAAGACACCCAGTCTCAAATGTTCAATGAGTCATGGGCGTCAAGTCTTCTGCCTTACAGGAGGAGAGCAGAGCAGTCAGTAAGTTAAAAAGTGTTGACAGTGGCTAATAGCGCCTCTATTGTATTTAGAGCTACATGGCAAAATTTAACCCTGGTTGTAATTGTTAAAAAAGTAAGTGTGACGTAGAAATTCAAAGACACCAGAAACTTACTAGGTAATTTTCTTACGTAAAGCAGTATTTTTGGTAATTCATATATTACCACTTAGATTTTAGCCTCCTGCTTCTGAGGTTTCATCTCTTTACCTTTCCTTTCCCTGCTAATGATATTTGAGCAGGTCAAACCAACATACACCCCAAAGGGGCATGATACTCAAGCTAGGTCAAGAGGGAAGAGAGTGTGTTAGTTATGGTTTTCCAGAGAAATAAAACCAATAGAGGCTATGAGTGTGTGTGTGTGTATACATGTATGACGGTGTTTCAAAAGTTAGTGACAAAAGGAATTAAAATAATAGAATTTTTCCACAAATTTTTTGAAACCCCTTTTGTGTGTATGTATGTTTGTATATAAATAGAGGTTGGTTGGTTTAAAGAACTGGCATATGCAATTGTGGGACACATATAAGTCTGAAATATGTAGGACAGGTTATTGTTAAGTGCCGTCAAGTCAATTCAGACTCAGAGCGACCCTGTATAGTTTCCGAGGAGCAGCTGGTGAGTTTGAACGGTCATCCTTGTGGTTGAAACTGACCTTATGGTCAAGTGTTTATTCTACAATGCCACACCAAGTTAGCAGGCTGGAAACTTGGGCAAGAGTTGATGCTGATGTTTTGAAGCAGAATTTCTTCTTTTCCAGGAAACTTCAATTTTTGCTCTTCAACTGATTTGATGAAGCTTATCTTCTAACATGATCCTTCATCTAACATTTTCAAGGGCAGTCACTTAAAGTCAAGGGACCATAGATGCTAAATGTGCCTCTACAAAACACCTTCACAGCAACCCCTACTTAGTACTCATATTTGATTAACTGGGTTCTGTAGGTTAGCAAAAGGAGCCTTGGTGATGTTGTAAGGATGGCACTGGCCTGCTAACCACATGGTTGGCAGTTCAAACCCACCAGCCACTCTGGGAGAAAGGTGAGGCTTTCTGCTCATATAAAGATTTACAGCTTCAGAAACCCTATGTAGGGCTACTTGGAGTTGGAATGGACTCAATGTCAGTGGGTTGGTGTGTGGTAGCTTAGCAAAAGGAGCCCTGGTGGCACAAGGTCAGCAGCTCCATGGGAGAAAGATGAGGCTGGCTGTTTTCTATAAAGATTTACAGCCTTGGGAACCCTAGGGAGCTTCCCTACTCTATTTTACAGGGTTGCTATGGATTGGAATTGACTCAATGGCAGTGGTAGCTTATTGGCAAAGTGTGCACCTAAAATTAACCATCAAAGAGTGCATCAGGGAAGAAATGTTAGGATTAGTGATTCAGAAGTTCATGTGAGTGTGGAACTATTAATGGCGGGTAGCTAGAGAAAAAACTGGAAAGATGGAAGGATAGTCAAGGGGTAATTTGTATGGCATTGAGAGTATGGAGGGGTTATACTACTTAGGGTTGGCAAGGCCTAGAATATGACTATGAATGCAAATTGGGGGACAAGATCTTACAAAGAGAGAAGCTGAAATTATGAAGTGATCAGCATATTTAGAAGGATAACCCACCATGTTTATTGATCATTCCAGTATATCACTCAACTTTAAAATGGGCAGACATGATTAGTCGTTTTATATAAGAGATCACAGGTATAGCAAGTTAGCATGTGGAAAGATGACTTCAGTTTTCTGGAAATTGAAAAATGAAATTAGCAAAATTAAGAAGTCTGACAAGTCCAGTACAGGTGCGAGAGGGTATGGACCAGTAGAATTTTCCTGGTACAAGTGTGAGTTTACATAACCACTTTAGAAATCAATTTGACATTTTCTAGAGTCAATCATTTGCATTATTGTAGACCATCCTTCCTGTTGCTACTTATATTTCCTAAGAAAATTTACCCACATAAACCAGGGACACATAGGAAAAAGTTCATGACAGCAGTGTTCATAATAGCAAAAAACTGAAAATTACTTAAAAGTCTCATTGACAGAGGAGAGGAGACAGTGTGCTGTCTTCACACAGCAAAATGTTTATAGCAGTGAGCCAGAATGACCTTAACTACACAGGAGGACATGGACAGAGTTTTTTGTTACTTTTTTTACGGACTGAATTTTAAAAAGCAAATTGCTGAAAATTGAGCCCTGGTTTGGCACTGTAGGATCATCACTAAACTGGTAACCACAAGGTCAGCAGTTCAAACCCACCAGTTGCTCCTGGGAAACCGTATACAAGGTGGTCCCTTTGAATCGAAACTCACACAGTGTAACTTAACAACAGCAGCAACAACTCACAGCATGATACTGGTTTTGAGCAAGTCCCTCCCCCAAAACAAAGAACTAGGCAGTGGACTGGTAACTCAGATCCAGGCTGGTGGGTCTCTATAGCCGGCCTTCATACCACTTTTGTGCCATAACTTGATGGCACATAGTAACAACCCCTTGTTAGTAATACCGAAGGATCTCTTTTCAGAATGTTTCTGGTGGTGGTGGTGGTGGTATGCTGTGGAGTTGGTTCCAACTCATAGTGACACTATATCGGGTTTTCGAGGCTGTAAATCATTATGGGGGTAGAAAGTCTCATCTTTCTCCCATGGAACCACTGTTAGTTGTGAACTGCTGACTGTGAGATTAGCAACCCTACTCATAACCACTATGCTACCACAGGTCCTTCAGAATGTTTTTAGTATCCTAAAATAAAAAATAAAAATAAAAAAATTAAAACTAGGATTACAAGGGAAAACTATATTGAAATAATTTACCAAATTTATTATAAAACAAAACAAATATTCTGTTGTTTATCGAGCTCTAGTGGAAGGTCTAATAAATGCCATGATTTTGAAGTGATGAATGTACCATTGTGTGAAAATATTAGTGAGAAATTGTTTTGTTGTCACATTTATAATTGAAGGAATGCTGAATTTCTGTTAGAGGGTCATGCAACTAAAGGTGTAACTTTTTTTCCTACGTAAATTCACAGACTCCCTAAATTTTTACCGTAGACCTTTGAGTTTATGGACTCTAGATTAGGACCCCAGTTCCAGGGGAAAGCCAGGAATGATAGAGTTGAGGAGCACACAGGAATGCAGAATAGGGTTGATAATATTCTAGTTCTTAAGGTGGGTAGATGGCTTCAGTTTATAATTCACATCTTATGGTAACATACAATTTTGTATTTTCCTGAGGGTTGTTGTTATGTGCTGTCAAGTCAGTCTGGCTCATAGCAACACTATAGGACTTTCAAGGAGCAGCTGGTGGGTTTGAACTTCTGACCTTGTGGTTCGCCGTGCTGATCCAACAGCGCTACAGCAGGAGTCTCTCTTGAGGGTTAGCATGTGTGAAATAAGTTACCTAATCCTAATGTACAGTCAGATGAGTGGTTTACATGTGCATACATTTGTGTATGCATACAAGTTCTTGACTCCCTACAGTCTTCCCAGTGCTTCCCCAGTCTCACCCCAGGCAACCACTTTCCTGACTGAGGTCATTAAGATTAGTTTTAACTGTTCTATTGAACATCATAGAAACAGAAATGTGATATGTCGAGTATGTGTATGTGTATTGTTCTTAATTAAGCATACGTGGCCCCTGGTTTAGCCCTTATTCGGTAACATAGTCCATGGCAGAAGTCCTCCTGCTTTTGCCCGTCCCTGTCCACCCCTGCCCTCCCCCCACAATTAGTAATCTTTTTCAGTTGATCTTGAATGAGTTACAGCACCTGATTGGCATTTTTGTTCCGTTGCATAGTGACCAGTTCATTACTTTGAAATCACATGCTTCATCGGGAAATTACTCAAAGAGGCATCCGCTCAGCCTCTGGCAATAAGATCCCCCTGTGGGCAGCCCAGGAGTCTTGCACAAACAACTACCTACAGTAATAGGCTGTTAACCACACAATCCTAATTTCTCCAGCTTTCCACTCTAAAGAAATTCAATAACTACAGGATTTTATGCTAGAAGAAAATCTTAAAGTTGAACTCTGGGTGTTTGGAATAGAATGGTGGTGATTATGTGCTATGGGGTTGGTTCAGACTCATAGCAACCCTGTATAGGGTTTCCAAGGCTCTAAATCTTTACAGGAGCAGAACAACTGGTAGTTTCGAACTGCTGACCTTGAGATTAGCAGTCTGACTTGTAACCAATTCTACCACTTGTCTGGACCATCCCTCAGGCAAGTCACCTTTACACTGAGTTTTATTGTAAAGTGGTGGCTATAGTCTAGCTATACCTCTTGGGGTTGTGCAAGAATAAAAGAAGGTGACGTTGGAAAATGTCTAGTAGATGATACAAAACTATGGCCTCATCTATAAACTGTTTCACAGACAAGAAAGCAGATTGATTCAGAGAGACTACATTATTTGCTCAAGGTCAATCAAGTAGTTAATGGAATAACTGAGAGTTAAATCAACATTTCCAAATTCCTGAGTCAGTGTTCTTTCCACTGTCCATATAGCTTGCCGTTCCTTCTGAAATGAATATTTTTTTTCTCATGTGAAGTAAGTTTCAGGATGTTCCCTACTCAGTTACTCACAATGTGTAAACCTTTGCATTTCCGAACAAAGTAAAATTGTTTTTGTCCATGAGGTGCTTTTCTGAGTACCTTTAAATGCCGGCTGGTATTGATGGGAATCGACAAAGTGAAAATCAGGCAGCACACTGGAAAGCACTGTGGACTATATATTCATATTCTGTTCAGAAAGAGGAAGTATACCACAAACTGCATTTAGAAAAGTAAACAGCCCAGGGGCCCTGGAGACTGAAGTAGTGGTGTATCGACATGTCCTGTGGTTCCACCGTTGGTTTTGATCACCACATTACCATTTTGCACCTGAGCGCTGCTTCTACCAAGAACAATATGCTTTTAAGGCAATTAACCAGGATGGTCTTACATCAGTAGCTGTCAGAGGGAGGGACTGTGCAGTCATTGCCACACATTAGAAAGTACCTCACACATTATTAGATTTCAGCACAGTGTGACTAGTTATTCAAGATAACTGGAAACATCGGCTGTGTGATGACAGGAATGACAGCTGACAGCAGGTCCCAGCTACAGAGGGCTCGCTATGGGGCAGCTAATTGGAAATACCAGTATGGCTGTGAGATTCCTGTGGACATGCTATGTCAAAGAATTGCAGATATTTCTCAGGTCTACACACAGAATGCTGAAATGAGGCCTCTTGGTTGTTGTATGATCTTAAGTGGTCTATATGAAAAACAAGGCCCTCCGGTATACAAGTGTGACCTTGCAGGTTACTACTGTGGGTTTTTAAAGCCACTGCAGCAGGAGTTAAGCAAATTGAGTCAACCAGCTTCTTTGGACGAAAAAGTGACGAAAAAATGTAATTGGACGTTTGAGCAGACAGTTGAAACTGCAATTATGTGCATGTCTACCATGCTGTCAATTGATTTCAAACCATTAGAAATTGAAGTTGGAGCAGTTACAGTTGAAAAATCCTAAATTGAGGATTCTTACAGAAGCAGAAACTGGCAGCAACCTTGTCACTCTAGCTGAGAGAGACTAAACATAATTAGTACCAAATCCATGATGCCCCTTGCCAGTGGATTTGGTAAAAACAGACCAACATTGTGGAGGCCTCTGGATTGACAGAGAACCTCTCCAGTCCTCCTAGCCCTGAAGTGGTTTTGACTCTGTATAAATAAAAGCAGTGGTTTTTTTGGGGGGTGGGGGGGCGGTGGGAAGTACTCAGCACACATGAGTACTTTTTCCAAGGAGAAAAAAATATTACAGTAAGTGGCATATATTCATTTAAAAGTAACACACATAACAAAAACATCTTAAAAATCATCCTGTTGATGAGATGGGTCAGAATGGTAAGATTTAATAAAATTAATTCCTTTTGTGAGATTCCCGCTCATTGGTATGTTACACAATTTGAAAGAATTTATGGATAAAGTGAATTTCATAGCACATACCACTTTTTATTTTGAAAAGCATGTGACTCTTGGCTGTATAAAATGGGAGCTGTCACTGCTCATCTTACCTTCTTATCTTTGAGCCATCTTCTACTCGGACACCTTAACTCTGAAAGGCCCTGCTGTGGGGCTGCCCACCCATTGCTGACACTGACCCCTTCCTTCCTATGCCACTGCCCACTCCTCTTCTTCCATGAGTCTGCTGAGCTCTCTTTTCATGTCAGTGGTGTGTGTGAGTCCCAGGAGGTAGTGTGTGATCACGGGCAAGTTGTCTCACCCTTTCCAGCGTCAGTTTCCTGGTCTCCTAAGAGGATAACAATCACACTCCTTCTTGTCTCCTAGAGTTGTTAAAATTTGTCGAGAAAATGCCTGGTAAACTGCAGAATGCTAGGCATATATTGATTATTGGCATAGTGGATGAGCTGTACATGATGGTAGCCACGTGTGAAACCATAACTGAGACTCAGAATGAGGAAAACTAGCCCACATCAGTCAAAAGGCTGCTTAGAGGCCCGTCAGTATACTTTAGTGAGGATAAGATTTCTTCATTTAGTTTCTTTAGCATTTTAGTTGTATGGCTGTAGCTCTTCGAATGTTCTAGGAGATACTCAAAAAGGGTCTTTCTTATGTTATTGAGCCCTTGCCAAGTCTTGCTTATTCCTTTGATTGTTGTTGTTAGTTACTGTTAAGCCAGCACTGACTCCTGTTGGCCTTACTCTATCAGAAGGAAATGATGCCCAGTCCTTTGTCATCTCCAAGATCTTTGATTGGCAGATGCTTCATAAGTATGATGGATTACAAACAACTTCTCTTCCTAAGTCTATTTTTAAGTTGAATTTGTGGCACTGTGGGTTAATGTGCTAGATTGCAAAGTCAATTTGAACCACAAAGTTGGCAGTTCACCAGCTGCTCCTCAGAAACCCTGTTCAGTGTTGCTATGGGTCAGAACCAACTCGATGGCACTTAACAACAACAGCAATAGTTAGGGACAGTTTGTATGTAATGTCATGTATTTAAATGTTTGTCTTGGTATGTAGTGCATCTTTTTATGCATAAAAAACATTAAAGAAATACTTCAAGATTTGCTAAAACACATGGTAATATGGTAATAATTTTGATGAACATCACAAAGCTGTACCTATTTGCTGTTAACAAACCATTGTATGTACCTTGAATCTTTAATATAATAGGGTTTATAGAGTTGGTTTGTAACTATGGGTTGTATATTTGTAACCTAGGGACTGCCTGCATTTCAGTCTGACTCTCTTCATAATGATCACAGATTCTATTACGTTAATCCCTAAATTAATCAGTTGTTATTTTACAATAAGCTTCATCGGACTAGGCTCCCCCTGGTTACTTGCAGCCTGCTTTTGTTTTGTAGGTATTAAAACCAGGCAAATGTGTCTTATTTCGTGACTATGGGCTGTATGATCATGCTATGCTTAGGTTTAAAGCTGGCAGCAAGCTTGGAGAAAACTTTTATGTTAGACAAGATGGAACCAGATCATATTTTTTCACAGATGGTAAGATGAATGAAATCTCACCTTAACGTGTTTTTTTATTTGTTTCTTGGTTGCATTGTCACTGTGGTGTGGTTTGGGAGGGGGTTATAGCTGTACTAGCACTATGCGCAAGACCATGGAACCCACTCTACACCATTGAGCCCCTGAAACAGCACAGGCCTGGTCCCTGCACGGCAGCTGTCCACAGCCTTCTCGGGTGTAAGTCTCAGGGAGCCAGGGGAACGGGCAGGCTCTGACCTGCAACATGTGCTGCTGAGAACTGTACTGGAGAAAGTGGGGGGCAGTGCGGGAACGCCACTCTGTTTAACAAAGAATAAAGCACATAGACACTTAGGCTCACATCATGATTTTACTTTCCTAAGTCACAGAGGTAAGCCTTTCTCTAGAAATGTGATTGTATTAGTTTTTAAATGCACAGATTTGTTATAGAGGAATACTAAGAGAGTTAATGGAGTCCTGGTGTGGCGCTGTGGGCTAATGTGTCAGACTGCAAAGTCGTTTGAACTGTAAGGTCAGTGGTTCAAGCTCACCAACTGCTTCTTGGAAACCCTACACAGGGTTGGTATGGGTCAGAATTGACTGGACAGCACTTAACAACAACAAGTGAGTTAATAAAACAAACTGTCTAACATTATTCAGAGAAATTTTGTGAACATTAGTTTTAAGACTGTAATCATCTGGACTCAAGTTCTTTTTTTACAAGTTCTTATTTCTTGATTGCCATTAAAACTACAAGGTCTTAAAACTACCCAGTGAAAATTTGAAAAGATGTTTTAGTGTTCCTGATTTGTGTACTCGGATTAAATCAATAGCAGATAACTGAGAAGATGCAATAATAGCTGCAGAATACATCCAAGGCTTTGTGCTTTTGAGTGGTGGCCCCAGTAAGAGTCTTTGTGCTGCTTAGCCGTGACTCTCTGTGTTGTTTAGCATGTGGTAATGAATTATTTGGGTAATTGTCCTGTGGGTATAACACTTTCAGATGACTTTTTCCATTCTAGGCACAAATTTTCCTCCTTTATATTAGGATAAGTGAAATTCCTGATGGAAACAAATTGGGCACATGTAGATCTTGTATAAATACAGCTGGTTAGAATCTTTTTGTTCAGATTTTTGTATTTGGGGCTCGTAATAGGACAAGGTGTGCACACTACAGTTTGTCCTTAAACTTGTATAATTAAATTGTGTTTAATTGGATGTGTCTATTTGGGTACAAGGGGATACACATACAGGGAGTCCTGGCATGGCATTGTAGGATAAGCACTGGATTATTAACTGCAAGTTTGGCCATTCAACACCACCAGTCACTCCTTGGAAACCCTGTATAGGGTCGCTGTGAGTTGGAACTGAATAGATGGCATTTAACATCGGAAACCCTATTCAGGGTCGCTATGGGTCGGAACCGACTCGATGGCACTTAACAACAAAATATGTGTGTATATATGTGGGAGAAAGATAAGGCTTTCTGCTCCCATGAAGATTTAAATCCATATATATATATATTTGTTGTTGTTAAGTACCGTGGAGTCGGTTCCGACTCATAGTGACCCTGCACAGGGTTTCCGAGGCTGTAAATCTTTACGGGAGCAGAAAACCTCATCTTTCTCCCACAGAAATGCTGGTAGTTTCGAACTGCCGACCTTGAGGTTAGCAGCCCGATTCGTAACCACTACGCTACCAGAGCTCCTTTATATATATATATAGTTACTATGAGTCAGAACTAACTCAAAAGCAATTAACAACATATGTATATATGTGTTTAGGAGTCCTGGTGTGGTATTGTAGGATAAGCAGTTGTCTGCTAACAACAAGATTGCACTTCAAATCTGCCAGTTCTCAGAAACACTGTACCCAGGGACTCTATGAGTTGAAACTGACTTGATGGCACTTAACAGCAACAACAACAGCAACCACCGACTGACCTTGCAGTTAGCAGTCCAGTGCTTATCCTCCTGCACCACAGCGGGGCTCATATATGTGTATATATCAGTCTTAACCTTCTACCACTTCTTACCACTGTGGGACACATGTCGTCATTAAGACTTTCAACACTGTTGACCTGCTTGTTTTTCAGAATTCCTGGCTCGCCTTTTTGTGGACACAGGCTATGAAGAAGTAGTGAATGAGTATGTGTTTCGGGAGACTGTGAATAAAAAAGAAGGCCTGTGTGTACCCAGAGTTTTCCTTCAGAGCAAATTCCGAAAGCCGTCAAAGAACCCAGCACCCTCTTCCCGTGATCCTGACCCTGGGTACCAGTCCTGATCTTTCAGGAGGTGGACAGTTATGACAGCCTTTGAAGAGGAAAGTTTACTATCAGTCTTTATTTGTGTGCTTTTATATTTTAATGGTTTTTTAAATGGGCATATATAATTTTTTGTATGTGTGAATAAAACTGCAAGGCCTAAAAAGTAAAGAAAGCTTTATGGTACAGCATAGCCTTGTTTTTGGACTGAAATTCCCCAAAGGAAGGGCACCCACAGGTCTTGGAGGTCCCCGTCAGTGACTCTGTAAGTGTGCCTTCGGGCAGCTGTCAGACAGCCTTGTGAGAAACGAGGCCAGATGAACTAAGTACATCCACATGGATTTTCATCGTAGTGAGGTTGTGCCCTTGTCTTTTCTTTTTCCACTGTCTTATACTTGCCCCATTCTTCTCACACCCTTCATTTCAGTTATGTATCTTTAAGGCTACTATACCATAAATCCCACTTTTGCTATATCTCTGTTCAAGAATTCGCCACCCTGTCTGTTTCTGAGACCCTCCATAACTGTGACAGTGGTGGGGGGGTACCACCTATCCCCTATCTGTCTAATGTCCATTCTCCAAATATAGTGGATTTTAAATCTAGAGTTGAATTTCTGAGCTTAAGGCAACATTAAATTGGCCTTACCCAGTTTCCTGCCTGGAAGTGGCTAGGGAGTAAATGACCAGGCTGGTATGGTGTTAGAATATGGTGAAAACCCCAAGTCTACTTAATAGTTCTACTGAACTATTTCCTAAGCTGAATACCATATAGTGATTCTTACTTTATGAAATAAAAATAAGATTCTGTTAGTTGTTGTTAGGTTCCGACTCATAGGAACCCTATGCACAACAGAACAAAACACTGCCCAGCCCATTGTTGATGCCACTGGTCAGTCTTTCTTGTTGGATGCCACTGGGTCATTCCTTCCTGTTTTGTTGACCCTCCACTTAACCAAACCATAATGTCCTTCTCCAGGGTCTAGTATCTCCTGATAACGTATCTCAAGTACGAGAGATGAAATCTCAACATCCTGGCTTCTAAGGAGCTTTCTGGCTGCACTTCTTCCAGAACAGCTTGGTGGTTCTTCCGGAAGTCCATGATACTTTTAGTGGGCATTGTGGATTAATGCACTGGATTGCAAAATTGTTTTGATCTATAATGCCAGCAGTTCAAGCTCATCTGTTGCTCCTTGGAAACCCTATACAGGGTCGCTATGGGTCAGAACCAGCTCCAGGACACTTAAAAACAAAATAACAACCAACACCACAATTTAAATGTGTTGATTCTTATTAATTGCCCACCTTTCATATAGATAAGAGGCAATTGAAAATACCATGACTTGGATCAAGCACACCTTAGTCCTCAAACTGACAACTTTGATCTTAGACACTTTCAAGAGGTCTTTTGCAGTCAGTTTGCCTAATGCAATATGTCATTTGATTGTTGTTGATGGTTGATCTAAGCAAATTGAAGTGTTTGATAATTTGAATCTTTTCTCCATTTATCATGATGTTTGTTATTAATCCAGTTGTGAGGATTTTTGTTTTCTTTACAATGCAATCTGTACTGAAGGCTGTAGCCTTTGATCTTCATCAGTAAGTATTTTAAATCCTCTTCACTTTCAGCAAGCAAGGTTGTATCATCTGTATATTGCAGTTGGTTAATGAGTATTCCTCCAATCCTGATGACACATTCTTCGTATAATCCAGCTACTCGAGTTATTTGCTCAGCGTACAGATTGAATAAATATAGTGAAAGAATACAACCTTGGCACACACCTGTCCTGATTATAAACCATTCAGTATCACCTTGTTCTGTTCTAACAACGGCCTCTGGGTCTGTATACGGATTCCTCATGAGCACAATTAAGTCTTCTGTAAAACTTTTCTCGCTGTTATTCATACTTTTTCATGGTCTACACAGTCGAATGCCTTTGCGTAGTCAATAAAGCACAAGTAAACATCTTTCTTATATTCTCTGCTTTCAGCCAAGATCTATCTGACATCAGCATTGATACCTCTAGTTCTGTGTCCTCTTCGGAATCCAGCTTGAATTTTTGGCAATGCCCTGTCAATGTGCTATAGCAGCCATTTTTGAATTATCTTCAGGAAATGATACTTGATTGGGATATTAATGATTTTTGTTTGATGATTTCCTCATTCTGCTGGGTTTCCTCTCTTTAGAAAGGGCACAAATTTGGATCTCTTCCAATCAGCCAGGTAGGTGTCTTCCAAGTTTTTTGGAGTAGATGAGTGAGCTGCATCACTTTGTTGAAAGGTTTCAATGTGTGTTCCGTCAGTCCCTGGAGGCTTGTGTTTTGCCAGTGCCTTCAGTGCAGCTTGGTCTTCTTCCTTCAGTACCAGTGAATCTTGATCATATGCTACCTCTGGAAATGGTTGACTATCGACCATTTCCTTTTGGCACAGTGACTGTGTACCTTCCATCTCCTTTTGAGGCTGTCGCCATCATTCAGTATTTTGCCAGTAGAATCCTTTAATATTTCAAATTGAACCTTGAATTGTTTCTTCAGTTCCCTCAGCTTGAGAAACGCTGAGCGTGTCCTTCCATTTTGGTTTTCTGAGTCGGAGACCTTGCACATTTCATTGTAATACTTTGCTTTGTCTTCTTGAGCTGCACTTTGAAATTTTCTTTTCAACTTTTTTACCTCCTCGTTTCTTCTATCACCTTAGCTTCTGCATGCTTAAAAGCAAGTTTGAGTCTTCTGACATGCATTTTGGCCTTTCCCTTCTTTCTTGTCTTAATGACCTTTTACTTTCTTCATATATGATGTTCATGATGTCATCACACAACTCTTGGTTTTTGGTCATTAGTATCTAATGCATCAAATATGTTCTTGAGATGATCTTTAATTCAGATGTGATATTTTGAGGTCATATTTTGACTCCATGGACTTGTTTTAATTTTCTTCAGCTTCATCCTGAACTTGCATATGAGTAGTTGATGGTCTGTTCCACAATATTGCCCATAGCCTTGTTTTGGCTGATGATACTAGCTTCTCCACCTTATCTTCCCACAGATGTAGTCAGTTTGATTGCTGTATATTCCATCTAGTGTGGTCCATGTGTATAATTGCTTTTTATTTTGTTTAAAAATGCTACTTTTTTTTTTAATGTTTTATTGTGAATTATGTGATAGTTTACATGGGACAACATTGGTTTTACATTTATTCTATCGTATATC